AATATATAGCTTCTACTTTTCGGAAACGGTATGCATAGAATTTGCATAAAACAAACAATCTATTCTAATTTAGTAATAAGTACTAAACAGTATGATTGAAACCTTAATAATTCTTATGTGGGGAATATGATTAAAAGCACAGAAACTGTTTTAAGTTCCAGAATACTTAGCTAAATACGTCTAGTATTTAAAATGTTTCTGAGGAGGTGTGATTGAAACTAATTTCGTTGGATTTTTCCTCGACATACATTGTTACGATAAAATTATAATTTGTTCACAAGTTAGTGTCGAAGATATTTATGCGCTTTTACTTAATGCTTATTCCAGTCAGTCAGACGGTGATTTCATTATTCACATAAATTAAACTTTCTGAATAAATTCAGTAATAAAAGTGCCCCAAATCGTGGTCAACATTAGGCCATTCATTGTCGAAACCCACTGATTTTTAATGCCTGCAATACCAGAAAATTTTAATATGAAAATCACTGGTTCAATCTTATTGATTGTATAAAATAATTGTCTCATGTATCATTAACCCGTGCTCATGTAAACTCAAAAAACTTAAATTTTTACATTGCAGTGTCTGTTCTTGAAAATTTAGTATTTAAGATGACTCTTCACTAGTAACCAAGTAACTGACTCATTATTGCTGTGAAAAATATGAACATTTCGCTTCCACTTCTCGTTTTTTATTGTATTAAAACGACATAGATTGTAAGAGCCTCATATTTAAATTGTATGTATACGCCTTTCATCAATAACATCATCATTTCCACACCACACCTTTAGGTTATTCAACATTAATACTTTTTCTTAACACAAACGTGCACACGTATAAAAAACATTTAACATGTTCAATCATGTCATTTATTACAAGTATAAGCAGTGCACAGAAGAGAAACACTTCATTGATTTTATCTTTTTTAAACTTCTATCTTGGTTACTTCTTAAAACAAAACAAAATAAATACACAATAGTTAATGATTTAGTGCACACTTATTATTTGTTATCATGGTTTATTTATTACTAAGCATGTTTATATGTTTCATTCATGAATTGTCTGAAGAACGATTAGTAAATGTTCATTAATTATTAAGTTATACATTTTTATTGCTCTTATTTTTCAAAAGAGAAAGTAAGAAATGAAAACAGAGTTCATTTTCATTTCACATTAAAATCGGTTTAACTCTTCATCTTTATTTTTTAAATATAAAACGTTTTACAATTTTTCATCATACAGAATATGAAAATAATTCAGTTATCTATTAAATTTAGTTAAATCGGTTAGCGAAATATTTGAATGAGAGGATGAATTTTTATGTCAGTGATGGAGGCTTACAACCTCAGGTTCCAACAATATCGTATTAACAAACCTTAATGTTTAGATTTTAAAATTGAAAAAGATATGACGAAGATATCGACAAAGCAATTATATTATTCATTTTATAGTAACGCGTTTTGTATATTTCCAACCTCAAGTTTTAGCTGAATTATTTCGACACCAACTTTACTTAGTGTTAACAAAAGTAATATCTACAGAAGTAAAGCTTAAGAAAATAGTTATCATTATTAGATACTTTGAACAGGTTTGTTTCAATCCTTACATTAGCTAGTAACCAATAAACAGTTTTTATATAATAGTGTACAGCCCTATACTAAGTACCTTTTTGAATTGCTCTCAACTATACTAACATAGCATGAGTTGATTGTTTTATAGGCTTTAGCCTATTAAATCTGTACAAAATACAGTAAGATTTAGATCATTACACTGAAATCGTGAATAGATTTTATTTAGACCACCATCTAAAGCTTAGAATCATTGGACGGACTCAGCAATGCGCGTCTACGGCCTCGCGCTAACGCTTAACATCTAGGCCATTGAACTGATATCCAACAGTATTAACTTTTAGCTTTGATCAGTCCACAAAATTGCATGACCATCTTCCACTGTCTTGGATGGGTAACTGTCTCATGGTCGATACGGTTTAGCTCCACTGGTCACAGTCTCTCACTAGAACTTCAGAAAATTCCTCTCAATGATAGTCACCAGTAAGCACATGGCCTAGAGTTTAAATGTTTGGACACGAGATAGAAGATTCTAGGTCCTGTTCGCAGGTGTAGGGTTGTGGATTCGCGCTGCTGAAGACTCATATACTAGGATGAAACGGCCGTCCAATGATTCTAGGTTTTCACTGGTAGTCTAACTTAAATCAGATCGTGTATAACCCTAGATTTGGTTCCGAAAGATAACAGCTTCCGAATTAAAAACTACATCCATTTAGGTAACTGGATCATATAAATTAAGTCCATATAGCTATCTGACATAATTAGCGCCCATACATAAAGATGGATTATCTTAGAAAAAGCATAGAATCTTACGAGTTTTGGATAAATAAAAACGATTTTTTATTTTACATTATATAGTGTAAGTATTAGAAATCGGTGCGTGAAATAGTATGCCAAATATATAAGTTAAAAACACTATAACCCTTTTGTTTAATTTACGGATTTTCTGAAAATATAAAAAACCTAATGCTTATCCTGCCAACAGTTTCTAAGCCATTTGCATTAAGATGTGTCCCATTAGAAGTATTGACGAGAATCCTTATCCTGTCAATCGTCTGGTCCGTTAATCAAATACATGTACTAACACAGGAAAAAATAACAATATTTTAGAGAAGTAGACGTTTTTCAACAAAAAATAAGTATTATTTGCCTTTGACTTTCTGTTTTGCTGTCTCTTCATTTCTAATTTTCCGGATCTACTTTGTTCTTCGTTTTTCTTCTGGCTTTTGCGACACTTTTTCGCTATTTATCTATCATTTCTTTTTCACCACATCTCTTAACGTATTTTCATCCTGTAAATAAACTGACAGGTAAATTTAACTCAGTAGCTGAGTTGACAGATCAAAAATACTGGAAACGTAGTAATGGTCATTTTCGAAGTCATATATAAGGAAAAAATAAAACGGAACTTAAAAATAAATAATTCAAATAGAAGACAAAAGTTAACGGTTGGGGGAGGTACAGTCATAAGGAAGACAATATCACTCTGACTGCTAATAATCCCATGAACATATTGTCATTTCAATAGATCATACAAGAAATCAAGTAATGAGAATGAAGTGATGTAATTGTTTTTTTTTAAAGTAATGCATCATAGAAAAGGATCTAGACAAATTTTCACAAACAAGTTTTATTTTAAACTTAATATAGTTATGCGATTACACAATCATTTAAATAAAAGATGAAGAGAAATGAGCGTCAAACCAAAATATCTAGGCAACTGTATAAAAAATTTAACAAAGTAATATGGGCTGGAAGATAAAAATTTACTCTTAGGCAGTGCTAAAAACGGGCAAATAAAAAACAGTCTCATAACTAGATTTTCTGTCATGGTTGTCAAACATTTTGTTGTATGATATGAATTAGAGAAAATAGGATGAAAAAACAGGGAGAACAATCACAAAACGACAATTTGACAATAACGGAAACGTTTAGTACAGTAATATCAAATATACACATAGTTAGAGTTTAAAATAAGTCTACTGTAATGGTAAAAAGGAAGATATTTAAACTTGTTTTACATCAATTCACACAAATTTATATTATTTAAAATAAATAAAAACAAAATTAGAACACATTCGTTATATATGTAATATTGAACATACAATAACCGTCATTGTTATTCGTGATGAAAATTATCGATATAACTGAGAATAACAACAAAGATATTAGTCAGTATGCATGATGTAGATTCGAGTTGATAGTACAGTCAAAAATTCCCACCTATAATAACTCTGACAATTTACTCTTGTGTCATGGATAGTGTCTATGAAAAAAACCATATCAAAATATTTTTCTTTTAATATAGCAGTCTCTATTTTCCCTATCCTATGCAGTAGTAATAAAAACTATAATAATACAAGTTCTGAGCAAAGCTTCGTAGAAAATAAAAGCATAACAAGTAACAATAAGGGATGTTTGAATAAGTCAATTTAATTTACATGTAGTACACTAAGAGAAGACAAATGAACTGGTTAGATATTAAGCATTTGCATTTGTGATACGAAAGCACATAAACTGTTTTTGATTATTTAATGAAAGCCTGCTGGTAAATTAAAAATCACAATAATTCACAGCTGCTATTTGTCATGGATATAAGCAGATTTTGTATTATTTGCAACAATGACGTCATCTATTTATCGAAAAAGCAAAATAAAGCAAAACATTTAGTATAACAAATAGTTATATATTAACTGTTTCCACGATTGACAGTATTAATCAATTCTGTGAATTTAAAAGTTTTAACAAATGCAAATCATTGGTGTTCATTTATCTACGATTAATAATCAGGACAATAACAAAGGAGTTATTTCACATGTTTTGTGCTTAAACATTGAATAGTTTGCCATTATACAACAATGACAGATTTACAGGGCACAAATCAGCATAATTCTACGAATGCAATCGTCTAATACTTTTTGTGTCTAAAATATGGCGAATCACAAAAACACTTTTCTATGTAAAGACGTTTTGCCTAAGAATATCAAATACTTGTTTGTAGGAAGATATTTTTCACATGACTGAAAACTGTCATTTTACCATGTAAGCCAATCTGTACCAACGGTCCAGACAAACCCTATTGCTAATTTACACTGTTTAACTAAAAATAAATTACAATAATAATCGTTGTAACAATAACGTGGAGCCAACAGTAGTATTCGAGGTCTCTGAACGAAACAACTAAAACAAGTTAACTTGATATGATAACCCAATGCAATTCTTTTTCGCTCTTATTTTACTTATTTCTTACTACAAAAACAATTCACACTTTTTATAAGTAGACCCATGAATATAAACATAAAAGGCCATCAATGCATCTTTTTTGAACATGTAAAAATGAGTTCCATCTAGAGAATGAAAAGTAAAATTCACTAAATCCAATGAGAAAAATTCCCAAATAAGGCCAAGAAATGAATAAACAACTTACTCATTGATTACTGTCTTAGGTATGGATGCATTCGAGAAACTGTGGATGATGTGGCTTGCAAGGAACGTAATTTAAGTGGTCCTACAAAACATGGTAGGTTGACATTTTTAAATAATACGCATGTAACAAACGTAAATAAATAATTTGGAAAATTATTTCAAAAGTATAATTTCCCGTACTTATCAATGCTGTTATTTGCATAAAGCTCAATAAGTACTTCCTATAGAATATTACAGAGTCAAATAAAAAGATCCTAGCCAGTAGCATGTATAAAACAGTTACATGTGAACTAAATCCACTACTTTATGTACACATTACATCTCTGATCACTTTATTTCCAGTAATTCAACCTCTATTTCTAACAGTTTTACAATTACTTACAATGCCTTCGATGCTGCTATATTTCTTATATCGTCTTCTCTGATGCTATCATGTTGATATCTATTATGATATTTCGCATCTGGAAACAACTTCCAATTCCTTAGACAATGTGATTTTTGAATTAATGACCTTAACTTACAATCCATTGTATAAACAACTTCAGTTTTGTATAAAAATTTTCGTCCCCAGTTTTAACTGTAACAGTAACAATTGGTCTTAAGAAAATTTCATCTATTCCAACCGAGGTTCTAACAACTGCTTATTGACTTAAACATCAGCTATAACTGGCATTTTATTAAGAGTTATTGACTACACGATGAAATCTGAAGTAAAAAAAAGTTAAATTATTCAAGCAAAACTCCTTAATGAACGTATTTTATAAAGAACAACTGATCACCTTAAACTTGTTCCTACTCAGATAACACACTTGTACATCAAAGTATAGGGCAAAATAAACAATTACATACAGTATGACTTATTTGCATGGAATCATATCCGAAGGTCACTGAACATCCAATAGCTTCTGCTCGTTATGATACTTGAACACTTAGTCAATAACCCAATCTTAATCCATTGTTCAATAATAGACTGTGATCTGTTTATAATAATTATAAATACAATTGTGAAGCTTCAAAAAATTATAGAGTCAAAAACGTGATTTTCTTTGTTCTAGTATTATTTCCATTACTAAATGAATTTGCTGTTTGCTTAATAAGTCGCTCAGATTTATTAACACTAATAATAGGTGTATTATTTTCACTACGTTTGTTCATGACTTTATTATACAAGTTCTGTAAACATTTTTTCTGTTAAGGTTGGTATGTATTTGAAGTTACTGACAAAACCAGAAGTTACTTCTGGAATTAACCTGTCAGATGTAAGAGACTATAACTCTGTTCTTATACTAAACAACGGTAATAATCTACGAAATAATTGGGAACTAGCATATCCGACTTATACACATCCTCAGCAACTTATATCTGTAAAGTCTAACATTGAACTGAGACAAATATTGAGAACCTTGAAGTTTACAAAGTGCATTGGCAAAAGCTTTATATGATTTTAAGAACATGTTTTAATAGATTATATTATCTTTAAGGAAGTAATTTTAAACTTAAAAATACCTGAACCAGTTTCTTGTGTATTTGATGCGTTGTTGAATTCCAGAATATTTACAGCATCTGCAAGTGATGTATGTGAAGTGATAGGGTAACTATGAGCACCTGATACAGGATTATTCACGTTACCATTGCATAACTGTAAATTTGAATTACTTGCACCAATACCTCCTGTTCCACTTCCACTAAGGAGAGCAGCTGCAACAGCAGCTAACTGATCATGGCCTTTAAATGAACAGAATAATACGTGTAAAAAGATTTCAAGATTACTTGTACTCATATCAGTAAGAATTATAACTTTTAAATTGCTATATCCTTAACGGTGAATCGGAAACATAGTCAACTATATTACGCAAAGAATGTATAATTTATTTGCTTCTAAATAATAGTGAGTGATGAAGTGTTTATTCTTTTGTACGATGTTCTTAACCACTAAAACCAAACCTTTACTTATTGTTTCTAAAAGGTTATTAATAGAAACGTTATGATTTCATCAGTAATGACTATACCCAGATATTATCTGAAATCTTTATATTTTGCAAAAGTAAGCAACCGTAGTATAATGTTAATTATTTTATGGGAATTAAGCATGGTTCGATTCAACAAAGTTGATCTTAAATATCAAATTTACTGTTGAAAAGCGAAACAGTACAAAATTGTACCCTCTGATAGCTTACAGAAGTCAAAATGTGAACTTTCTTATTTAATTGTTAAAAATTAATTGGAGAAAATAAATCTGGATAATGTGAGTGAATTATATCACAACACTTCCTCATCTTGACTAAGTGACACTAACAGACTAGCTTTCACCCAGATTATAAGCCCTTTTGGCAATGTTATTAACCATCAGGATGTACTAAAATTCTGTTTACATGTATTCACGATTTATATGAACAGCCTAGATCCCAGACTTTATCAGGAATCGAAATTATGAAGTTTGAGTTTCACGGTCGGTAAATATTGTATGGTGATCTGGCCATCACTGAACTTAGGTAAATAGACAAAATTGATTCATTTTTCCAACAACTTACTGGCTGCATGCAACGTAGAACCAATCGGCAAGGATAAACCAGAAAGTCCATTCCCAGTAATACCGCCGGCGATTTGGCTTAAAGGAAGAGTTAGATTAAGTTGCCCATTATTTGTAGCTGATCCTGTACTGACGGCTGCAGATAAAGCTGCATTTGCCGTCAAAGGATATAAAAGTCCGGATATATTATTATTTGGTAAATACGTAGATAAATTCGCTGAGCTAAAAGATGGGATAGAATGAGATAATTGATTATTTGGAATGGAATGTATTGAATTAGCTTGAGATAATGCAGAATTCACCGTTCCAGGAAGTAAACAGTTTGTTGCCAGTGATACAGGAAGTACCTGAGATTGAATCTGAGGTAAAATATTAGTTGAAGAATATTTATTTGATGGTAATATTTGAGCTGCAGCTGCTGCAGCTGCCGCTGCTGCAGCCGCTTGATGATTTAATACAGTAAGTGACTGATGTTGTAATATGAGCTGTTGGTGTTGTTGAACTTGTTGAATATGTGCTTGCTGACGATCTTTATCTGAAGTTAAAAGCAAAATGTTATCTAATAAATCTGTCACTCTAGGTATACACATACTTAATTCAATTAATTAAGCCTGTTAAATTAGACACACAAAGTGACTTCACCGAAATTGTGTTTTTACAACACCAACGAAAAAAGTCAGAAAAGAAGAAATAATTATAAAATAAACATCAGGGTAAAAAGGTAAGGCAGCGGTTTGAAAACATTCAACACATGCAAGAAACCTCCAATCATCAGGTTAGTTTCGGTCACCTATATCAAATAAATCACCATACATACAAACACCGTGAAAATGATATTGATGAATCTTTAATTAAATTAAAAATGACTCTGTTGTACGTCTACATATTTTCCACTTGTGATTATAATTCATGTACTTTTATCTGATTTTAATTATTCTTAAAACTACACCGCATTATTGGTGTTTTTCAAAACAATAAAATACCATTGGTTTCCATAAATAGTAAAGAGAAAGCGTAACCATTTTAATTAGCTATGAAATAGTAAAGTTTTTGAATAAAATTCTTCAATGATAAATTTTTTTATGTTGAAATTACAGGAAGACATAATGAGCAAATAATAAGGTATTTGTTATACTCTTTAAAAGCATTTCAAAGAATCTATAACAAACAAGTTAATTAGCTGTTTTTTACCAACGTACATTAGCATAATAATTACTACTGGAATTAGCCATGGGCTTAACTAATTGAAGAAAAATTGTGAATTAATCTAAGCTAGTATAACCATTCAATAGGGAAACTATGTGAGCAGATGATCTATAATCATAAGAAACCAATATTACGAATTGTCATCTAGTTACACAACACATCTTTTCGAAATTCACATGATTCGATCAAGCAGTGAAGTGTAAAAATAAATTACAGCCTTTAAACATGGAGTTGTATCATGCCATTTTCAGTAGCTACTAAATGAAGTCTAAATAAATTAAGTTGAAATTATACTAAAACATATATCAATAATACAAATAAAGCGAAAAATCCAGCTGCAAGTTTTTAGTGTCGCTTGTTAATGACAAGTAAAGCAATTATCTCTTTGTACAATAATGTTCATCTCTGTTCACTTCATTATCTTAGATCAGAGATAAAAGCATAAATCAAGACAAGCTCACAATTAGAAATGCTACACAGATTCATGATTTATTCCACATTAACAGAGTATCATTTTTTGTGTCATTAACTACTCAATCGAAAAATTTAAAAAACGTTTATAAAAATGTATTTTGTTCTGTCATTTACACACACAGATAAGTTGTTACAACAATTTCAACATCATATCATTCGTTTCAACCAAGCTTTCGGAATTGAAATGAAAATTCAACTAATTTACCAAATTACCTAATTACTACCGCTGTTAACTGCAGACATAGAAAATGGTTTATTTCATTTTTTTCCTATAACAGGAACCCTAGGGTTTAATCATAGTTTCAACTTCATTTTCTTGACTAAACATTCTATTTTACTAGTGATGATATACTGATTTGTTTTTATTAAGTTCGCTTTTTGGATAGATTTGGAAATTCCATTCACTTTTTACTAAACAAGTCATTTACTAGATACTTTTTTTAAACAGTTTTACCTTTTTATAAATATCAAGTACCTAACAGTTTGTGTGATATTATAGTCAAATGGATGTCATACAGTGTCGTTCTTTATATCATTTCTAACAAGACCATATTCCATATTTCCTTTAATTATTCAAAACTTAAACGAAATACTTAACTAGAAATACATCGTTTCCCATAGAATCATAGATTCTTACGCAAACCATCTTTCTAAACTATCAATTGTCTCAAAATTGTTCACTGAAATATGATCCAAAGCCTATTACTATTAAGATTATGGTCTCGTAGTTAAGTCCATTGACTAATGCAGTACACATACTCAATGTGAAAATTAATCAGCTTTACTGGAATCATTTTCAGTAGCTAATTTTGGGTCAGATATCGATATTAGAATTATGTGTTGTTTTGTATAATTTCAAAATCAACTTAGACTTATCCAGAAGCATGACTTATATATATATATATATATATATATATATATATATATATATATATATATATATATGTTGTAGGCGAAATGAAATTAGTTGCACAGTTGTTTTACATCCTTGTTTAAACTAATATCATATAGTAAATGTTGAAATTATATTTTAATAAATTCAACAACTAAAATTCAAGTAATTCCAATCATCGTTCATTTTCCGTGAAGAAGTTCGGATTAGGTTGCCGGGTGAATCGTTGGAACTATTTGAATCTTGATCGGTAGGACTGATCAAATATAATGTCTATTTTCCACGTCTTTTATACACTCAGTGTCTAATTTTTGTCAAAATATTCATTCACTTTCGATGAATATTAGTATAAATAATATGACCTAAGCATTAATAACGATCACCTACTTATAAACAGTTGATGATATGAGCAACTTTATGCAGAGAATAAATCACCAACAATCACCCAACAATCGAAAGCTTCAAGCTTCAATAGAAAAAACCCCGTAATTAGATATTCTATCACAAACAATAAGTATCATTTTTAAACATGGACATCGTCATCCCGACTACGCTGTTGGAAACAAGCGCTTATACACTTTAAATAAATTGAAAAGATTGTTCGCTAATTATCAGGATTATAACTGAGCGGCGGGTACGTGGGTCGGCTGCGAAACATTATTCTAAAGCGAACTTTTCTGTTATTTTTTAAGCTGATTCCAATACAGGATGAATGTTATCGTCGAACAACAGAAATCTTCACAAGCTGCAAAAATAAACACTAATCAGTACCACCCTGATAACCAACTTCTAGATAGATTCCCCAAAGTTGCATTGGGTAATTTCATTTAGAATGAGTTAATCAGTGACCATAAGCTTTAGGTGATTATCATATAATGTTAAATGACTGACGTTGAAAAATGATAACAATTTATTACTAAAGAATAACCCTATCTCTTAACGTGAAGATTTCGAATTCAGGTCTTTGTATATTCATGAGTGGCCACTACTAGGTAATCTCAGTCGTTCTTCAACTTATTTCAGTTTTACCACTAGTTAAACAACATCAAATAAAACACGAAGTGGAATCACATTACTGTCGTACAAACAATTCTTTGAGATTCAATCTAAAAACCTACTTTCCGAATATATTTACATTTTTGAAATAAAAAATACTGATGAAAGGAAAGTGATCTGTGGTTCATAATGACTAGTAGAATAATAAATCACCAGATATCAAATATTATTCAATGTAACACAAACTTTCATTGGAATCTAACAAGACTAAAAAACTACTCCATGTTTATCTGCAAACAAATGTGTGAATCATAAATACAAAACTACTTTATTTTATTGTTACCTTTAGAAGAGAATTTCGTCTGAAGCATTTTGAACTGTGAAAATATGTCGCTTAATGATTGTATAAACTGAATAAAGGAAAATGTTTTTGTAAACTACGGTTTATGGCTCGTTTTATGGGCTGCACACTTCATTTTAATTTATAAGCACATCAAAACTTAAGATAAATAGTATAACTTCGAGTGGATTGTGAATAAAGTTTGCAAATTATGTTCACTATTCAAATGATTTGCACTCAGTAGAAAAATGTCCAATGTATATTTACTTCATAGATGATAAGTTGGCTAATTCTAGAATCACTAAAATAAGAACTTGTGTCATTTGACAACTAACTACCAACTTTATGTATTTTAAGTACTTCTTAGAGTTTTTCTTTGTTTGGATCAAGTTTGTAAACTTTTTGAAATCAAATATTATTTTTTAGTACAACGAACCATGAACATTTTAAAGTGTAGAATTGGGTCAATGTCATATCTATCATATTCACAAATACAGCAATGAACAACAAATACAAGTTTAATGAGTTCAGTTTCTCCGAATTTATATGTGTGATTAAAATTTTTTGAACAGTTGAACTATTAAAATTGAGAGTTTAAATGTGTTAGCCATATACAGCCGGTATTAAATCATTTTTATTTTTTTTGTCGGAAAGAGGGAGTTCAAAAAATTATTCTCCTTATAATATCATATTTCGTGTTGTTTGATCTGATAAGCACATGAATATTTTCATAGTTCGAATTACAAACTGATACTAGTTAAACAACCATTGAAAACGTAGAGTCACTGGATGGCATTTTCGTCTTATAAAGGAACTCCTTAGCAGTGGACATGCATGACCTTGTGTGTAAGAGTCAAACCCAGGACCTTCGGTCTTGCATGCGAATGCTTAACCTCTAGATCTGTGAGCTAGTATCCAACGGTGTTATTGTCTAACTTCAGTCAATCACGAGCTGAATTCTCGGATTTGGAGTTGTGAATGTGCACTACTGAGGAGTCACACACTAAGAAAAGTCTATTATTGTTATAGCTAATATCTGTTCGTGTCTAAACTATGAAAATTAATATTTATCAAACAGCGGTAGCAGGATTTCGAAGATCGGAATAAGAATAAAATAAGAGAAATGAAAACTGCTTCATACTAACTAATAAGAAATTGAGAATTCTCGAATTTAAATCTTCACATTTTCATATTCTCATTTCTATTAATTTATACTGCATGTTGCAATCGTATTCGAACATGTAATGAGATCTTAGTTCATTATTCTTAAAAATAAGAGTAGAAGGGACATCAGTTGAAGGGCTCGAGAATATATATTAGCTTTGAATAGCCAGCTTGGGTTTTAATGGAATTTGCAAATCCCACAAAAAAACAATTTTTGAACTACGAGAATGAAAACACTCCAATCTGATAAAGAGTCTCAAATAAATGCGGACAAAATTATAAACCAAAACCTGAATCAATGTCAACAGTCCGCTAATGAACTATAACTTTATCTGACTTCAGTGATCACCTTTAAATTACTAAGAAGCCCTATGAAATCTGAGATACTTACGACTACTTAATGATTCCGACCTTTGGAAACTAAACACTCTACTGAAATCAAGTTTGATCAATAACCAGTACC